TTTTTAATGGAATCATCAGAATGCATTTAGGTGTTTTCTGCAACTTGAGAATTTTAATCACTCTTCTCAAGTCTGGTTCTCAACCTTAACCAGTCCTCAGATGTTTGTCTTTAACATAAGCCTCTGCTGATAACTTATGGATTCTTTGCCGAAGAAATGTAGACAAAAACAACTGCGTGGCTCTGAAAGCAAAGAGGCCTGTAGTTGGAAAGTAGACGTGATCCCTTCAATAGCTTTCTGTGAAAGCCTGCCCATCAGAAAGATGAGCCAACAATGAACCAGCCCGTCCTTGTTCTTGTTTTAAAATAAACAGACTCGTCAACTTTTCATTGGCAACCGATGAACCATTCATGGAGCCCTATAAAGAGTGAGCTTGGTATTGGTATTGAACCAACTGAGTACAAGCTGTTTATAGCTATGTATAACCTTCCAACATAAACACTGCGTCTTAAGTAAATCATTTTATGTCCGTTGATGTCTGTCTAACATCACATGGGACCTTTTTCTTTCCAGTTTTGTCTGATCTGGTTTGATAGGTAGGCATACATGTCGCTTTACAGGTGGCATTCAAGGTTACCCTTTTACATTCCAAATTGGAATGAGGCAGAGTTACTTTATTTGACATTTGTGGTCTCTTGCTGTATTGTAACCAGTGCTCACCTTCCGTAATCACTGTTGCAACTTCCTGTCCACTTACACAAGGACAAGAGCAAGTCAAAATTGGTGCTACTGGGGTTCCAGTTCATGCGTGAATAGGGGTGTTCCAACCAAAAAATGTTCAAACCTATCTGTGTGATCCATGGATGGTTTCAGACAAGTTCATTAGTCATATCTGTGTCTTCGTATCCTTAGGCTGCAGTGGCTTTCCGGGGCATCTGCTGGCCAGTTGAGATCAAGGTGACGAGTCAGCTCAGAAGGTTATGGTGACCAACTTTCCGGACTCCAAAGGGATCATCTGGATCCGTTTTCTCAAAGAGCATGGGCCAATCACAGGGGCTTTATTAGGAAGACCTTTCAAGAAAATGGCATGCTGCACTGGTGAGAAGCAGGCCAGAAGAGAGGCACTGAGAATTCGTCCCCCGCGCCTTCTTGCAAGATAGCAAGGGCATTCACAGGACAGTTCCATGGAGAAATTTTACCTCGACCATGTTACCTTCCACCTGCCTTTCCACCAGCAGCCTCCCGCTGCACCTCCTCTACCTCCGAGGCCCAGGGAAGAGGACAGGGGGAGGCTTTGGATTTAGGGAACTCTGGACTCAACATCCTGGGGTGGCATTTCCTAGTGGTGGGAACTCTGTCTAATCACATCAGTTCTCTGCAGCGTAGGGTCCCAAAAGGCAAGGCGTGCAACAAAGGTCTTCATTTCTTTTCCCCCCAGGACTCCATATGTGTTCAACTGGTTTCTCTTCATGTGGACCTTAGGTACAACAGGAGAAATGTTCTCCATTCCTGAGCCGCCTTATGTTCGAGTCTATGCTTCACTGCTGTTGTGTTAATCCCCGTCATTGAGCATGCCCCTTGTTTTACTGACTCTCTACTTGATCCAACACGATGTCTTTTT